CGAGATCACACACTCTCTCTCTCTCTCTAAAAAAAAAAACAACACAGAAGCTCTATGTACTTATGTGGAAACACAGCCTAATTATTGTGAAATGAATAAAACAAAGTACACAATGGCGTATACAGTAAACTTTCTGATATGGAAGTAAGGGAGAAAATAAAAATATTCACATCTGCTTATATATATATATTTTTTAAAGATTTTATTTATTTATTTGACAGAGAGAGAGACAGCGAGAGAGGGAACACAAGCAGGGGGAGTGGGAGAGGGAGGAGCAGGCTTCCCGCCGAGCAGGGAGCCCGATGCGGGGCTCGATCCCAGGACCCTGAGATCATGACCTGAGCCGAAGGCAGTCGCTTAACCAACTGAGCCACCCAGGCGCCCCTGCTTATATTTTGATATAAAACACTGGAAGGATACACAAAGAACTAATGAAAGTTCTCTGTTGAGGAGGGCAGGAGGGCAGAAATGAGATCACGGAGGGATTAAGACTTTTCACTACATGCCTTTTATTTCTCTCAAATTATGTACCAAGTACATGCAATGCCTATTAACAAAATATCTGTATTAAAAAAAACACTTTGGAAAAGAATATGGCAGTTTTTTAAAAACCTAGCATACAACTTAACCATTCCTGAGTATTTCATTTCCAAGACAAATGAAAACTTAGGTTGACACTAAGACACCAAGTTTCATAGCCTCTGTATTTATAATAAGAAAAAACTGGAAACAATCCAAATATCCCTCATCAGATGAATGGATAAACCAATTGTGGTCCATTCATACAATGGAATACTACTGAGAAACAAAAAGAACAAATTATTGATACATGTAACAACACAGATGAATCTCAAAACGATTATACTGAGTTTTAAAAGTCAAATAAAAAAGAATATATAATTATGATTCCCTTTATATAAAATTTTAGAAAGTGTAAACTAATCCATAGTGATAGAAAACAGACCAGTGGTTGCCAGGGGGCTTGGGGTAGGGAAGAGGAATAAACTCAAAGGGGCATGAGAAAGCCTTTGGGGTATGGAAATGTTCATTATCTTGATTCTGGTGATAGTCTCATGGAGGAGCATCTATGTCAAAACTTACAAAGCTGGGGCGCCTGGGTGGCTCAGTCAGTTAAATGTCTGCCTTCGGCTCAGGTCATGATCCCAGGGTCCTGGGATCAAGCCCTACATGGGGCTCCCTGCTCAGCGGGGAGTCTGCTTCTCCCTCTCCCTCTGCCCCTCCCCCAGCTCATGCTCGCTCGTGCACGTGCTCTCTCTCTCTCTCTCTCAAATAATAAATAAAATCTTTTTAAAAAACTTACAAAGTTGTACATATTTATTATATGTTCAGCTTACTGTACATCAATTATATTTCAATAAAATTATAAAAAAACAGTGCAGGAGGAATGAACTAGATCTTAAAAATGTAACTGGGTAAAAAAGCAATACTAAACAATACTGTATTTTGGGTAGGGGTATCTTTTTTTTTTTTTTTCCAAATGGAGAGGACTGATAGACTCATTGAGTCAAAAGAGAAAGTGAGGTAGAATTTAAAAATTTAAAAGAACAGAAATCATATGAAGTGTGTTTTCATACTATAATATGGAATTAAAGCAAAAATCCAGAACAGAAAGATCACTGGAAGATCTGGAGATTAAGCTATATCCTTCTTTTTTTTTTTTAATTTTATTTATTTATTTGACAAAGAGGCACAGCAAGAGAGGGAACACAAGCAGGGGGAGTGGGAGAGGGAGAAGCAGACTCCCCACTGAGCAGGGAGCCCGATGCGGGGCTCGATCCCAGGACCCTGGGATCATGACCTGAGCCGAAGGCAGATGCTTAACCGACTGAGCCACCCAGGCGCCCCTAAGCTATATCCTTCTAAATAACACATGAGTCAAAGAAGTATCAAGAGAAACTAAAAAAATATTTTGAACCAAATAAAAATGAAAATATGACATCAAAATCTGTGGGATACAGCAAAAGCAGTGCTTAGAGGGAAATCTATAGCATTAAAATGCACATATTAGAAAAGAAGGGCTAAAATAAAAAAATCTAAGCTTCCACTCCAGGAAAGGAGAGAAGAGCAATGCAAGCTTAAAGCAAGCAGAAGAAAAGAAATACTAAAAATGAGAACACAGATCAATGAGAAATGAAAAGAGGAAAACTGTAGAGAAAATCAACAAAACCAAAAGCTGACTTTTCGAAAAGATCATTAAATTGATAAACCTCTAGCCAGGCAAACCAAGACAATGAGCGAGAAGACACAAATAATCAGTATCAGAAATGATAGAAGGGTCATCACTACTGATCCCACAGACACCGAAGTAAAATAAAGGAATATTATGAACAACTCTAGCCACAAATTTAATAGCTTAGATGAAACAGACCAATTCCTTAAGACACAAACTACCAAAACTCAAACACCCATGACCTGCAGTAATACAAACTACAAATGCAAGATGGCTTCCTACCTCAACTCAAAGGAGGCATACGACATGAGCAGCAGTGGGGGTACACAAAGAGTCATCAGGGAAGTAGTATCTTTTTTCTTTTTTTAAAGATTTTATTTTATTTTTAAGTCATCTCCACACCCAACAAGGGGCTCGAACTCACAACACCGAGATCAAGAGTTGCACACTCTACCGACTGAGCCAGCCAGGCGCCCTGGAAGTGATATCTAAAACAGTCGTGGAGGGACACTTCCACCAGGGCCTCTCGGAGCCACCTCAGAATCAACAAGTCCACAGCTGTATGGACTGAATTATATTCCCCCCAAATTCATATATTGAAGTCCTAATCCCTAGTACCTCAGAATGTGCCTGTATTTGGAGAAAGAGCCTTGAAAAAGGCAATTAACTTACAATGAAGTCATCCGGGTGGGCCCTAATCCTGTATGACTGGTGTCCTTATAAAAGTAGATTGGGACACAAATAACACAGTGGAGGCACCAGGGATGCAGGGGCAGGAGATGACCGTGGGACAGGCAGCAAGAAGGCAGCCATGTGCAAACCAATGAGAGAGGCCTCAGAGGAAACCGACCCTGCCAGCACCCTGACCTAGGACTTCCAGGCTCCAGAACTATAGGAAAACAAAATTCTGTTGTTTAAGACACCCCGTCTGTGGTATTTTTTTCTGGCAGCCCTCCCAAACTAATACAACAGCTAAACTCATGATTTTTCTCCCCAAAACCAACTCTCTTCAGTCTACCATCCATCCAGAAGGCCAGCCAGAAACCTCACTTTCACATCTCACATTCAGTTCTGCCCCAGGCCCTGTCAATTTCGCCACCCAGCTCTCTCCTTCCAAGGCTATTATTTCCCATCTAGATGATCTTGAAAAACTTCCATGGTCTCCCAACCTACATTCTGACCAACCCACAAATGGTCTCCCACTGCACCCAGAGATCTTTTCAAAACACAGATACAACCGTGTCACACCTTACCCCCATCCCTATGGTCCTTCAGTGGCTGTTCATAGGTATTAGGATATAGACAAACTGTGTACCAAGGCCTATGTGACCCAGCCCAGCCTCCACCTCCCTCTCTGCTCCCCAGCCACACTGGCCTTCTTCAATTCACTGAATAAGCAGTGTTCTTTCTTGCCACAGGGGCTTTGCACACACTGCTCCTGCTGCCTAGAATGCTCTCTCCCTTCCATCACTTGGCAAACCCCACTCACTCAGACCTTGGCTAAAGCACTACTTCTTTAGGGACCCTTCCTGACCAGCCCCCAAGTCTGGGTCACATTCCTTTATAATAAACATTTGGAGAAGGGAGTTCCTTTTCTTCAATGGCCTTCTCTGAGTCTATAATCAAATATTCTTTTGTGAGATTCCTTGATTGATATCAGTCTCCCCTACTCAACAGGAAGCTCTGGGAGAGTAAGGACCATGTCTGGTTCACCATCAAGTCCCAGTACCCAGCATGTGCCTGACACAAAGTGAGTCTCAACTGATACCTATTGCATGTATGGATGAATGTGTGCATAGAATTGGGAAGGAATGGAGAACACATTCAGGGCACAGGAAAAAAGGATGCTGAGAGGTCTACCAAGACCCCACCATGCCTGCAGTTTGATCAAGCCAGATCTACAGGTATCAGCTCTTAGGTTCTTGGATGCAATTCCAATGTGGTGGGGGACGGGAGGGGATGGTGGTTCCCTACACACAACACCAAGCAATTCTCGGACACCAGCAGATGGTCTGACATTTTCTACCCAGAGACAACATCAAATTCCACACGTGAAGGGGTCAGTCCTACAAGACTGCCCTCCCCACCCACTTCGGATGCCTGGCGCCAGCCCTAGGCTGTCCGGTGCTTCTGACCAACCAGTCACAGATTGTTGGTTCCAATGGCCTTAGGTTCTTTTAATTTGCTTGAGCAGCTCACAGAACTCAGGGAAACTTGTACTTAGGTTTACCAATTTATTAAAGGACACGGAAGGACAGGAATCCACAGCCAGATGAAGAGATACATAGGGTGAGGTATGAGGAAAGTGCAAGAAGCTTCCATATCCTTTCCAGGGACACCACTCTGCCCAATCTCCACGTGTTCACCAACCCAGAAGCTCTCTGAACCCAGTCCTTCTGAACTCTTATGAAGGCTTCATTACATAGTCCGGATTGACTAAGCCATTGGCCATTGGCCTTTTCAACCTCCAGCTGAAAATCCCAACCCTCTAATCACGTGGTTGGTCTTCTTGGCAACCAGCCCCTACCCTCAGGTGGGGTCCAAAAGTCATCTCCATTAACATAACAAAAGACACCTCTATGACTCTCAACACTTTAGGAAGTTCCAAGGGTTTGGGGAGCTGTGAGCCAGGAACTGTGGATGAAGACCAAATGCATGTGAGAAATATATTTTGGCCATCTGAATGACCAAATATGTATTTCTTGTAAATCACAATGTAACACCGGAATAGTGTGGTTTATGAATGTAAAAGGTTGAGGGAGGACCCCAAAACCAACCCCTCCCACACACACATACACTAGGTACATACCCAAATTCTAGAAGGTCTCTGTCAAAATTCACACTGTCCTCATAGAACACATTCAGCTCTGCATCAACAGCAACAACTTTCACCTGGAAGGCATTTTAAAAAATGGTGTATAGAAATTTCCTCAGCTTCTACACTGGCCCAGGGGTAGGAACATCACCAGGTGAAGCCCAGCACCCTAGTGAGTGGCTCAGCCTGCAGACCTCCCAGAAGGCTGGGGTACATCACTGTAACCACGGCAACGGAGGCTTCCTCTGGGAACATACCCAAAGAGTAGGTAAAATGAAGAGGCTGAGGCAAAATCAAAACACCTATACTGCTCAAGGAATCTTTGGCCCCTCTAAACAACCAAAGCCAAGACCCTCTAGAACCAGATGTTCATAGAAGAGCTGATTCCAGAACCTGGCAGGCAGGCCTGAGTTAAGTCCTCCAGGGGAAGGAATGAGAAGCAGCATTTGGAGATGCCTCTGGGGACCCTGTGTGCAGGGACCTGAGAGACCAGACAAGGTCCCTGGGCTGTTCCCATAGGCTGTGATCATGGTCCTGAGACATACAGGTCCGGAAGGGAGCAGACCTCCAAACTCGGACAGATGGGCCCTGAGACCCAGCAAGGCAACCTGACTGCAGAGTCCCACAGGACTTTCTGATCAGGGATAGGTCTAAGCCTGCCTCCCTGACCCATCGCGGAGACCGAGGGGTTTGACAACACGTGTGCTGACTTCCCAAGTTAAAGAAAGGGAGCCCCTTGGCACCCCACACCCAGGTTGAAGGCATTTTGACTCTGCTCGCCTGTCTGCGGAGCCCCGGGAGCAGCACGGCCCGTGCGGGTACGTTGACCCGGGCATGCTGGTGCCAACCAGGGGTGGAACAAAGGTCATGCGTATATCGTGCCCATTCCACGTAAAAAAAGTTTCAAGCAGTGATCTGGTTCCAGGTCACTGGTTATGCCTGTGTGCACGTCTACCCGTCTGTTTGTTCCCGAGTCTTGCGGCCGAGCTCCTTCGGCTCCCTGTCACTCAGCGCCCACGACGGGCGAACCCTTGGGGACCCCGGCCGCTCGGGGTACTTCCCGCTACGTGCCCGCGGGTTCCGCCGGGGCTGGGCGCGGGGGCGCCCACCGTTTCCGGGAGAGCCCGAGTCCAGGCCGGGTCGCGGCCGAATCTGGCGGGGTCGCCG